CATTTTAGTTAATGTGCATTAAATCTAGTATCTCAAGGCATTTATACACATACTCTGGGAGTGGGGGAGGGGCACTCTAATTAGAGTGGCTCTGAGAGCTGCTCTAATTAAAGTGCCCGGAGCATCTCATGTATCAGTGTCCCCGCGCTGAAAAATGGTGGAAGGGGCCCTTTAACTAAAGCTTGTCAAACAAGCTAAAGGCATCAGAGCAGCCTCACTGAACGTGTATAAGCACCCTAAATTATGAGGTACTACGAAAATGCACATTAGCCTGGCTTAATGCACATTAACTACAGTACACACTGTTTAAGTGATGCTTAATGTGCATTAGCCTATTTTAATGCTTGTTAAGTAAAAAGCACATTTTTATGTGACACTTTAATGTGCATTAAAGCACACTTGTGGACATGCTCCCTGACTATGATCTGATGTAAATCATAATGTCACGGAGTCAGCCAAAGGAGATGTACTATCTGGATGTATGTGGAATATCCCCCATGCCTGTAGAATCTAAGCAGGGGACTTTTGGGTGGCACAATTGTAATGATGGGAATCAGTAAATACAACCCAATCTATTAGTGGTTGCTCCTGGACCTTTTTAGAGCAAAGTTTTTGGCCCCTGGGTTGGAAAGGTTCCAGCATGACAGAGCCTGCCCTGGGTGTATGGTAAAACTCTGAGCCTTTTCAGCATCATCCAATTTAAATGCCCTGCCATAAAAAAGCAGCAATTCAAAGATTATTCTCGCTAATGGTATTAAGGAGAAAACCATGTGAAATTTGTCCCAAATTAAGCCCAAAACTTTTAATGATTTTATATAGGGATTCCTTCCGACTCAGGCTCCTTTACTCATCACATTATTTGCAAGCTCCCTGAATGTGGGAATCTTACTATGGAATCAAGTCAGGGTTGGCAAAATACATGCTATGCACAGGGTAATACTGTTTTATAAGTTTCTCTCACTTTGGCTGCCAAACCCAACTCTAACACAAGCACACAGGCACACACGGCTACAGTCCTTGATCTCATCCATATCTCTGGTACCAAAAGAATATGGTTCCATTCCTTTTCTCCTCACAGATGTATTTCCAACATGGCCACGATCAACTGTACATCTTTGCACAGGATCCCCAATAAGGTTAAGTCATCTCTGATTGTCTTGATTTTTTTTTTTTTAGAGAAGTGAAAAACATAACTTTATTTCCAACTCCTTTAATAAAATATTTATTCTGACTCTACATTGACAAACCTATCATAATATGGGTGTTGCATATCAAGAATTGCAATCTAACCCCCTTCCTCTTCCTCCTACTGCCCTGTGCCTTGACCATACCATGTGAAAGTAAACTATATGTTACTGCTGGCTTTGGAAAAGTGGCAAGAGTAGTTGTGGTATTTTTTTAAATACTAAATGAAGGATGAGACAGTCATGGGAATTGTTGTTCTGTGGTGGAATGGATCATGTTTTCACCGTTCTTAATATGTGTGCTGGTATAAGTACTCTTCTGAAATTATACATTTAAATAATAGCTAGAACTATGTCATATGTACTCTTCACTGTAAAAATAAGCTCAGCTCCTGATTTTTCTACCTATACGCAGGTATTTCATCCTTTAATATGAGCTCTACAGAGCCTAGCCAAGTTAGACTTACTTGCAAAGATTGAATCAATTCAGGCTCAGGCTTGTTGAATGTCTGTCCCTAGCCCATGAGTATACATGTTTCCCTGTAACTGACCCAACTGACTGGGAAACGATTGCAGAGCATGTTAAACCTAAGGAATATGACCCTAGACACATATGCACAAGTGTAGAAGCAGTGAGACTGCAGGCCTGGCTTTGCAGTGATAGTGCTCTTCCTGGGGTAGGTGATGATCAAACCCAAATCCCAGTCCCCCAGATAGCACTGTAGGGAAGACAGAAGCCCAGCACTTAGGACAAAATGTAAAACTCCCATTGACTTGGGTTTTTCACGGTAACATCTGCAATTCCAGAGAAGAAAGGAAAAACAGGTGAAAGAGGCAACAACAAAAAAGGAAAGAGAAAAGAAAACAGAAAAAAAGAAGCAGTTAAAAACAATGGCCCCACAAGTGACTGGCGTAGAAAGTTGAGGGACTACGGCAGTAGGGGTCATAATAGGTAGGATGGTAAATAAGAGACATACCAGCACTTTTTCATTTTCCCAGATTCATTAATAGCCCTAGGGCTACATGTACTATGCAAACACTTACATATGTACTCATATTAATAACAGTGAACACTGTCTATTCAGGCTGTTCATTTTAGTACTAAGAACTATACATAAACCTGCTGCTGGCTCTAACTGCTGTCATAATTTTAAAAAATATAATTTTGTCTTGAACAGGTTATAGTGTTCATTTCACCCTTGGCCATAAAGGTGCATGATAGCATCAACTGTCTTGGATAAGTAATAGTTAGAAGAGAGTTTTCTTAATTATTTATTGTTCCTCAGACAAATTATTTAAATTTCCTTTTAGGAAATGTTGTTTTATTTGTTTTTCTTTACTATCAGTTTTCACTGGTTGGCTTAATTATGCTAGTGATGACTTGAAAATAGAAAAGGGAATAGGAATAATATGAATGAAAATAAACCTTTATATTGACATTTTTCTTTTTTAATGCTAATATTTCAATTGGAATTTTTTTTAGAAAATTTCTACAACTGAAAAACTGGTCCACTTAAATTTTATTCTTCCATTTTTCTGATCTTTGCAGTTTTGTTGAAAATATTCTTTTCCTCTTTTTTTACATTAAGTTATATTATTCAGTAATAAGCTGGAACTGGAGACCAGGTGAGTTCACGACAAGAGAAGCCATGTATTTTAGAAGAACCTGAAAAAGCTAAGTAAACACAACAATGAAATTCTCTGCTAACAAAAGGATAGTAATCCATATTGGAAGAAATAATTTGAATGGCTTATGCACATTTCTGAGTACTAAATTACTTTAAACCCCTCAGAGAAAAAGACATAGGGTTAATTGAGGGCAACTCAATGAAAGTTATTGCTCACTGTACTGCAGCAGTCAAAAAAGCAAAAGCAACAAAAATGTCCATAAAGAATGGGACCAAAAACATTTTAGTTTTGTTATGTAAACCCATAATATATCTTTGCCTTGGGATATGGTGAAAAGTTTTGGAAGCGCTACTAAGATTTGTATGTTTATACACTGGATATTCTGTTTGTCTGATGAGTAGGAACATTTAAAAAACGTGTGTAAAGCTTCTCCTTGGTTATTGTATTTCATGGTTCATTTTGAAGTTACTACCACAGGAAGAATGATATGATTCTCTTGTGTTAATATGGTTAATTGTTACCTATTGGGAAAGGAAGCCAGGTTTCAGTTTCAGTCCATTTTCTTTACATTTTATGTCAAAACTATTATTTTACATCAGGGCTTTCCAACTGGCAGCCCAAGGGTCAGTTTGTAACCCGCAGGCTCCTGCCTAGTCACCCTTCCCTGCAGTGTTCCAGCTAGCAGCCAGGGTCGCCAGGCTCCCCTTCCCTTTTCCAGCTTTTGTATCCTGTCCCCTTCCCCTGGGTGGTGTGAGGCAGTGCAGCTCACAGGCCAGGCACCTGGGGAGGGGACTGGGAGCATACATGCAGCAGTGTACAGGAGGGTTGCCTGTATGTGAGAGCAGTGGGGAGGGAAGGGGGAGAAGCAGCATCTGCATTCATTGTGGTGGAGTACAGCACAGTGGGAGAGGGAGCATCCATGTGCAGCATGTATGAGCACAGCAGGGGACGCGGTACACCCACGGACCTGGCCTGGGCGGGGGGGTAATGTACCTGGGCAGCGTGTGGCTGGGGTGGGGAACGTGGCCAGACTGATGCAGCCCCCAGTCATATAAAAGTTAGACAGCCCTGCTTTACATTGTTGTGAAGTCCAGTGAAACTCTTTAGCCTTACAGAAAGTTATTTTAAGGTATTTAGTGAGAAAAAATAAGGGCAAAATTAATTTGCCTAATATTTTGTATGATGATATGGCATTTTTAACATGGATTTTACTTTCTAGGCCCTTTACTATCCGCTTACATTGCAAAATCACACTCATTTACCATGTCAGTCCAAAGTCAGACAGAAGGCAGGGCAGACTTGCACCTATGCAGGGGGTCGGACTCGATGATCTATTGAGGTCCCTTCTGGCCCTAACATCTATGAATCTATGAATCTTATAGGCTAACTAATTCAGAGATGCATAAGCTGTTGTAAGCAGCAGCTTACTGCTAGCATGTGGTGAAGCAGTCTGTCACTTATGAAAGTTTATGCTTCTATGAATTAGTTTATAAGGTACAACTCTGGCCTGACTTCTGCCTGACTTTAGATTAACATGGCTAACTACCTCTTTTTGCTCATGCATTTTTTAAGGTAACACATTACAGGGAAAGATAAACCTCAAATCCAGATATTCAGCGAAATGTAGTTGTTCCAAGCTTTGTATAACCAAAATTAAGCATTTTTTTTTTTAATTATATTTTGGCATTTCTGTTTAGTGTGTGCTGGTCAAGGAAACTTTTCTATTTACTTTGTATCAATCCCTATCCCTTTTCACCTCATGGTCTTACCTTAGTGGTAAAATTATACAACTGTGATATAATAATACAACTAATATAACTCCCTGTGTAAACACTCTTACTCCAGAGTAGGAGTAAGTTTTTTTTGTTATAGCTTAACCAGTCTAGGTGTATTTCTGGATACATATTAGCTAAGCTAAAAAGAATTACTCATATTTCAGAACAGGACTGTCCATACAGGAAGTTATACAAATCAAACTTCAGTATAGCCAGGCCTCAGTCATAAAGCAATAATTGAAGGATGATACTGTTCCAAATCCAGGGCTGTGAGAATTGTGTTCCTGTGCAGCATAAGTTTGAAAGAAAAATGAAACCATTTTCAAGAGCTTATCATAAAAATGTGCCTTTGGGCAGTCTTTTATCCCAGCCCAACTGAAGTTTGATCTTTTCTGACCTTTCACCTTTTCAGGTTATTTTCTGACCTTTTTGGAACCAGTAAACAATATCACCATAGTCCAGGGCCATACAGCAATTCTTCACTGCAAGGTAGCAGGAAATCCACCCCCCAATGTCAGATGGTTAAAAAATGATGCACCGGTGGTTCAAGAACCAAGAAGGATCACCATAAGAAAAACAGATTATGGTTCCCGGTTACGAATCCAGGATCTTGACACCACTGACACTGGGTACTATCAGTGTGTGGCAACTAATGGAATGAAGACAATAACTGCAACAGGAGTTCTTTTTGTAAGGCTTGGTGAGTTACTTCACTTTATAATGTGGCTATTATAACTAACTGTACTGCTTTATAGACTAGCTCTTAGTATTCATAATAGCAAAATGGGAAATTAATTTACCATTAAATGAAATCTCAACATAAAAGGAAATCAATAAAGCTATTGCCAGGAGCCTCTCTTTCAGTCCAAGGCAGAACTTGGTACCTATTTACTAGTAATAAATAAAAGTAAATAGAATAGCCTATAAATATTCTGTGCAGAGAAAATAACAGACATTGAATAAAAGGCCAGTCTAATTTACAAAAAGGTAAGGTTTCATTGTTTCAGGTTTGCACAGAACTGCTGGGCTTTTTCTACAGAGATGTCTGAAAAGAAAAAGAGGAATGAACAGCAGTTATCCATCTGGTCATAGTTGGGGAACAGTCATTGTTAGACACTGTGGGTATGTGTACACGTGCATTAGATCTGGGAGAAGTTTACTTATGGGTAAACTACTCTCAAGTAAACGCTCTTGGGTAGGCATCCATAAGTGCAGGGAAACAGGAGCAGATTTGCTGCTAATGGCAGCAAACTGCTCCTGCTTCCTAGGGCCCTGCAGTGGGCCCCTGCCACCACCAGGGGAAGCCCTAAGCTCCCCCAGGGTCCTAGCCCAGGGGCTGGCAAGGAGCACTGAGCCAGGAGACAATGATTAGTGAGGTTTACTGCACAGTAAGCATGTGCACATGTAGATGCACACACGTACTGCGTAGCAAACTACACTACTGCGCAGTAAAGGCCTCATGTAGATGCACCCTGTATGTCTCCTCCCTACATGATGTCTGCTGTCTTGAAGTGGAGACACAAAACTGTGGGGACAGTTTGCGAGGCACTTTTAATTTTGTTACGATGACTAACTCCACTGTTTACTTTATAGTGAAGCATTAAATACAGGGGGTATCACATCTTTCTTCTCTGGTGACAAAGGTCATGGGTATGCCCCTGTTGCATAATAAACTCTCATAGTAAGCCTCAGATGGGTTTAATAGGGCTTAGTAACAGATAAGTGATGTATCAAGATAATGCTTTATATTTCTAAGACCCCGTGTTTTAATAGCAGATGTGCTTTAACAAAAACAGTTCACTCAAGTTTCTGCCTGAGCTAACAGAAGATTTGTGCAACTTTTATATTTGGTTTTGAAAATAACAGTATGTAATTAGGTTTAGGAACTAGAGCCTTTTGTCTGAGTCTTGAGGTGAACCTTCTTTAAAGATATTGGCAGAATTCAATTTAACCTGCCAAATGACTCGTTAATGCTATAGTTGATAAGCAAAATTCATCAATTTTTGTTTCTTTTTACGTTTACAGGTCCAACAAACAGTCCAAATCACAACTTTCAGTAAGTACTTTTTAGAAATCATTTACTACATCCCTAATGATTTTGCCATGAAAGAATTTGGATCATAAATCCAGTAAACACTGCCTGCAGTCACCACATGTCTTTGCTAAAAATATTTAGTTTGATTGAAAACTCTTGGTATGGTTGAAGTTTTCTCAAACAAGGACAGCATTGTGTTATCATTGCTTTAGTTTAACAGAATTTTCTTGTGCAACTTGTGCTTGCATATTTCATATTTTAGAGGATCAAAATACCACATAGCCATGATATTGCTTGGCCAATAATCATTTACAGGACAAATATGAGAACAACTTGTGGTCAGAAATGAACAGATCAAATGGTTTGGTCACTGTGGTTGTCAAGTGACACATGACATACCATTGTAACTTGGAAAATTAAGTAAAGTTAGTTCAAATATTAGTCTGAGCAAGTAGGCAACTTCTTTTATTTAGTGTTTTTCATGATGGCTTGATTATTTCTCTCAGTTTTTCTGGGTTTGATCGGTTGCAAATGAGATTTTAAAAAATTAGCTTTGTTTTGCCATCATTACTACATTTGTTTGTATTAATCTGAATAAATTGTATAATTTCTTCAGGTAAATTCTGTGAATCTAGTACTCTGCAGCCTGATGAGTGTATTCTGGGAACTATGTGTATGTTTAAAGTCTTAATATAGTTAGGATAATTGGAGAGAGGAGAAATGTCACCATTCTACAAAGGGCAAAGTATAAACAAAGACTAGTGTTTTCTTAAATATTCTTGGCCTAACTATGGCCATTGAAATCAGTGGTAAAACTCCCATTGATTTTAATGGGAGCAAACTTTAGGAAATGAAAAGTACTTTAGGAAATCCCATGTAGAAATTTTACACTTGTCTTGAAACTTTTTACTTTTTAAAAAACTGAAGTGCTATAAGCACCATCTCTACCATCTTCTTGCACCTCCTTAATGCACTGATCATAAAACTGTTAATTAATAAGCCTACAAATGTAAAACATAGTGATAGAAGAGACATGTTCTCTCTCTTCTTTGTATGTGTGCAGAACAGATGAATGAAAGCATTGTCACAACCTTTCAGATGGAAAAATGAGATTGATCCTTCTAAGAGTACTTTATTGTGAAACTGGTTTAAATTGCACAGGACCATATTTCTCTCAAATTAAAATGAGCTGTGACCATTAAGAGTGATACATGGAAGGGTATATGGCTATATACAGAAATATGCATTTTAATACTATTCAACATCCTAGTTGCATATATTGTGTGGGCACCATTTTACTTCAGAGGAATAGTATACAACTGTTCTACTATGGGTAAAATGTTCAGGTCTCTGAAGGATGTACATTTTTAACCAGTAATGTATGTTGAAAAGAAGGGGATGATATGTGGACAGGAAGTGAACAGTGAAGCCCCAAATTGAATGGGAAAGCCTACAGTCTTGTGGCTTACATAGAGAAGAGTATAGTCTAAATGTAGGACAGAAAACAAGGACCTTCCAAACACACTTTTTGACACAGTTTCCTTTGTGGCCTCCAGCATCTCATTCAGTTTGTCTCCTTCAGTCCACCTCACTATGTACTCTTTTCCAGCCTCACAATTAAGTTGTGAGGATTTATTAAATGGATGTTGGTCAAATATTTGAAAAATGAAAACTACTGAATGTGAACATGGAAATAATAATTTATATATTTCTATTTTGATAATATTGCTATACCATAAATATATAAATTGATAATATATTGTCTGAATTGTGGTTGCACAGACAATCATAATAAACCTTATATTTCCTAACTTTTGAGTGCTTGACTCCACAGCCTTAAGTTTCTTTTAATGTGGATTAATAAAAAAATTAAAACATGAAAGAAAAATTCACCCTGTGGGGCATGATCACCTTCCCCTCGCCTTGAGATCAGCAGAATTAGGATATTAGATCTACAGCCTTGCACTGCTTGAGCTGATGAGGTTATGAATAGTGATAGAAATCTGTTATCTTGAATGTGAACCAGCACTCACTAGAAGGCAAAATATGTAACACATACCCAGTTTGCTGAACAGTTAAAGAATATTGAGGCTCGAAACTATGTTCAATTCTTGGTCCTGTAAGTAAGTTTATTGAAACTGTACAAATGAACTCCAGGCCCTTCTGCCCTTGTGTTCACCAGCCAATCAAATCCCCGACTCTCAAGCTTCTGCTCCAACTTTCTCTCTTCTTGATTCAATGGCTTATGTCCATCTTTCTTGCATTTATCTTTTCTCCTCTCCCCACCTCTTATCCCTGTTCCCGTCTCATTCCCAGGCCCCACACTTACTCCTGTGCTCTCTTCCCTCTTCCTTTGTTTCAGCCTTTCTCCCATACCTGAGTGGTACTCTAGTAGTAATCTAGTTTAACCATCAACCAGAAGTCTATGCCTGATCATGTACATTTCCCTTTCACTTCAGCACATTTCCCTATCTTATTACGCTGGTTAGAAGGTGTGCATTTAGATTACTCCACAATCTGAGTTAGGAATATAGACTGATTATTTTGTGTGGAAAGGGGGAAATGTGTGTATTTGCCGGATCTGGGTGGGAAAGATGCAAAGGTTAAGCAAGGAATTAACAAATGATTTCCTGACATTTCTATGTTCCTGTACATAGCATGTGCACCCGAATTACCTTTAACTAGATTAGTAGATGGGGGGTGTGTGTGTGTGTGTGTGTGTGTGTGTGTGTGTGTGTGGATGCAGGCATGCATGAATATTAGGGCTGTGCGAAACAGCAGCTTTCCATTTCAACCAGTGTTTCAATGGGACACTGTTTTGTTTTGAATTTTGTTTCAATTCGAAACAGGTGTTCCGTTTTGTTCTGTCGAAACAGGATCGAAACGGCAAAACTGTTTAAACGTTTTACCCATAGGATATAATGGAGATGGACAAAACAGCCTATACTTTGTCATTTCTGGCTTGATTTGGATGAAATGTGCAGGAATGGTAGCCCCTTCTGAGGGCATGAAGCCTGCCAAGCTTCAAGGAAATAGGTGCAGGGGTTTGGGGGAAACTGCACTCCAGATTCTTGAAAGTAAAATTCATGTCACATGTATGTGTTAAGCCACAGCAGGGTCAAAACTGCAGGCATGCTAGCCCCTGTGGAGGCCACAAAGCCTGCCAAGTTTCAAGGAGATAGGTGCAGGGGTTTGGGGGAAACTGCACCTCAAGCTGCGGACAAGCAAAACTCGTGATATGTGTGACACCGTGTGTGTTAAGGTGCAGCGGGGTGAAAGCTGCAGGCCTGTTAGCCCCTGCTTAGGCCATGACGCCTGCCAACTTTCAAGGGGACAGTTGCAGGTGCTTCTGGGCTCTGGGGCCCTGCACCTCTAGCTACTGACAGGCAAAACTCGTGTCATGGGTACTTGTGCAATTGTGTCTGTCTTGGGGCACGGTGGGGAGGAGGGGGAAACTACTGCAGGCCTGGCTGCTAGGCCCTGCTATGGCCCCAAAGCCTGCCAGCTGTTAAGGAGATTGGTGCAGAGGGGTTCTGGGGCCCTGCACCCCTAGCTGCTGACGGGCAAAACTCGTGACATAGGTACTTGTGCTAGCTAGCTACTGTGTTACGCAGTCAATCATGATTCACTCAGGGACCAGTTCAATACACAATAGCTAGCGAGGATAATGAGTTAATGAGTAAGGATTAACACCTACAAAACTACAGACTAAGGAGAGGAAAGAATCAATACAGAGCCAGGAACTGCTTCTGCCCCAGCAGCCAGGCCTGCAGTAGATTCCACTGCCCCACCCCGTGCCCCAAGACAGACAGTTGCACAAGCATCCATGACAAGTTTTGCCTGTCAGCAGCTAGAGGTGCAGGGCCCCAGAGCCCAGTAGCCCCTGAAAGTAGTCCTTGAATGCTGGCAGACTTTGTGGGGTCAGCAGGGCCTAGCAGGCCTGCAGCTTTCACCCTGCTGTGCCTTAACACACACAGTGTCACCCATGTCACAAGTTTTGCTTGTCCACAACTTGAGGTACAGTTTCCCCCAAATCCCTGCACCAACCTCCTTGAAACTTGGCAGGCTTCATGCCCTCAAAAGGGGCTATCATTCCTGCAAGTTGCATCCAAATCAGGCCAGAAATAACAATGTTATAGGCTGTTTTGTCCTTCCCCATTATAGCCTATAGGCGAAACGTCGAAACGGCGTTGAAACGGTGAAACGTTTCGACTTGCCTCATTTTGTTTCAAGGCTGTTTCGACTACATCTGTTCCATTTCGATTTTCCTGTTTCGACCTCAAAACGGGTCAAAACAGCGTCAAAACAAAACTGGCGGCGAAATTTCACACAGCCCTAATGGATATGTGCTTAGGTCAGATTCTGGTTCCTACTGTAGCTGCTTTGCATACTGGATGTGGCTGGGGAAGGTGGGATAAGACTGGGAGCTTTCTGTGTTCCAAGCATTCCCTTCAGCCAGAACATTGGATTCCACAGTCATAATTTTGTCATGAATTTATTTTAGTTCTGACTCCCAGTGCCTTTTTTTTTCTTTTTTTTTTTAATAAAGTGATGTAGCCCCAGCATATTGGCAAGGAGTAAGCAGGGTAGAAGGGGAGGGGGGGAAAAGAAAGAAATGAAATGGTGAACTGCCAATAAGGCTGAAACACAGGAGGAATCAGTGTGGAACAAAGGCCCCATTTTATTCATTAGCTCATTTAATTCATTCAGACTGAAGCACTACAGTTCCATGCCTCTTGGCATGAATGTTTTTAGGAAGGCACACTTCAGTGAGAACACTAAATCCAGTTTAAAACTGTGCCTCATTATTAAGGAATAAAACCTTTGTCTCGTTGATGCGATCTATGATGCAAGCTTTCCTTTAATTCATATGTGTATGCCAATGCCATAAGCAAGCCTGGGTTCTAGAGCAATCAAGTTTGTTATATATTAAGCATGCATTATTCATACACCTTTAATAGTCATGTTTGTCCGTATGAAAAGGCCTCCAGACCGTAAGAAGATGGAATCATTGGATTCTA